CTGCTGTCTATTCGATCCGCACGACTCTTATGGTGGACGAAAGGTTTTGACATCAAGGATTGTCTGCGGAAGGATGTTGTTCAGCTGTTAGAGGAGGCTCTTGAAATGAATATGGCAAGTTTTTCAACTTCTCTTTTTAGAAAAGTACTTCTCTTTCAGTGTTCAAAAGTAGTTTACAGCGACTTTGAATTTTCTTCTATGTTTCCAGTCGACGAAGGCACAGATCAAAGCAGTCATGAACGATACAGTGGGACAACTTGCGGCAGCCGGTCACAAATATGGCCCTGAATGCACGATCGGTGTTGTTATAGGTTACGGGTCAGTTTTACGCCCAAGACTGCTTTTTTCCTTTATCAGGCAAAGTTGGCCGCAATGTATGACCCTGTCATTTAAGATGCAATTCGTCCTACCTGGAAAAGACTTCCCGCATCACGAAATTTGACGCAAAGGCTAAAGGTTACAAACATCCTAACATGGTTGTTGTCACGGAATGGGAAGAATTTGGTTCGAAGGTGAGTTGAGTGTACACTATCGCGTGTTCTGTGTTCTTTCACCCCCCCCCCCATTCGTAGCTCGAGCGTGATCCGTAATTCTAAGTAGAATTGTCGCAAGAGTGCCGAGTTAAGGCAAAAATCAGACCTCGGACTGGGCTCGAACCCCATCTCCAGCTTACTGTGCGGTTGTGTCATCCGTACGCTACTGAGGTGGCTCCCATCATCTCAGCTCAATCTGCTTGAGTCCCTCCGAAGTCTGACTTTCGTCCACAACTCGGTACTCTTGTGATAACTATCGGAACCGCGTATTGCGGCGTAAAACAGCTGTTATCATACTTAAGTACTTTAGAACTTATAAAAGTCCTCAGCCTCGCGGTTCACTGCCGATATAGGCTAACAGCTTTAGAAGTGTGAGTGCTGGAAGCCAACTGCACAAAAATCCTTTGAGTAGGGAAGATAGTTTCCCTTTTTGCGTAATGGATAAAGCAACCGCCTGGTAAGCCGGAGATGCGCGGGCGCGAGTCCTCTACGAGATCTGGCTTTTGCCCATAGCTCAACACTCTTGTGATAACTTTCGGAGCCAGCGCTGCGGTAAAACAGCAGCTACCAACAAAACGGCTCAAAGAGGAGTGTTTGTTCGCCTTGTAGCTGGATAAAGAAAATAGGTTGTAGAATAAAAGAGAGTGCTTCATTGAAGTGAAAGGTTTATTAAGTGGTAGAAAAAAAATGAATGTTTCTCTTCCTTGTTTTCCTCCAAAACTTCTCCTTGTCCATAAATTAGGTAGTCACCTTTATTAGTAGAGGTGATTCGATTCTGGGCGCTGCCGGAGGCGGGGGGAGGGGGGGGGGCGGCGTGGAGGGGGGGAGGCATTTCGCACTTAACGACTTCCCATCGACGTCGGACCCATCTAGACAGCCTCTTCTCGAGTTGACAGGTTTTACCATGATGGCTTGACGAGCTTGCTCCAGCTTCACAAGAGTTCACAGGTTTCACCAGAGTGAGACTTGTAAACCAGAACTAGTGAAGCAACGAAAGTGCAAAATGCCCCCCCCGTCGGCAAACTGCGCGCTGATTCTGTTTTATCAATGCATAATTCTGGACATCCCCTGCTCGGTTATTTCAGCACGATACATTTTGCTTCACTTATTATTGTTGTTAACTACGAATTAGACAACTAGTAGTCAATAGACGAAGTGCGGCTACTATTCAGTAGAAATAATTTAGATAGCGTATGGGAATGGTCATGTCGTGATGGACGCGGTTAAGCGAGGGGGAGGAGACACTCTGTACTTTTGCTGCTTCACTCCTTTTTACAGGTCTCCTGTCAACTTTTGTAAACTCACAAAATCGCTCTAGATGTGTCGACACGTTGATGTGAAGTGGCAAGACTGAAAAAAGCCCCCCCCCCCAGTCGCCGCATTGCCCCTCATGTTGTCAGAGTCAGGAATAATGGTAAGGTATCTAGACTAGTAACTGTCTCCATCATCTGCGCGAACACTTTTAGTATGGCTGTTCGATGTAGCTGCCATGTGACTAGTTTCTTTTCATCACCCATCTATTGTTGACAACAGTTAAGTGACAAGCTTAACAAAACCGGAAAGCTTCACGAGAACGTTCTCTAATGTTATCGATTTTTACACCTCTTACGTGCAAATACGTCAGGTATTTCCGCAGTGTAACCTCACTTTTTTGGGAGACAACCACGTGGCAAAGCTCTTCTCGCTGCCGCTGAATGATTACATGAGAGGGAGCATTGTGCGAGCCCTCAATTCGCGCATTTTTGTGGGGATGGAGTGGAAACGGTTCTCTCCATTCAGTTGGAGTACTAGTAGTTACCGAAGTACTTATTTTCTTGAAGGTTGCATGAGATGCTTTAGAACTTTACCAGTTGCTAGGGGAGGGGGAGGGGTTGATAGGGATTCCGCATTAGACCTGTTTATACGTTCAAGAGTCGTTCGTCATTCAAGAATTGAAAATGCTAGAAGAAGATTGGATACTTATCGATTGACCCTATTTAATCTTCGTCGCGGACACTCCATTCCTCAA